AATATTGTGGAATATAAAAATATATATTTTTTAAAGATAATTTTTTCAGTTTAATGTAATTTCATTATATAGAACTCATATAGGAGTGCTTAAAACAACATTTTTTTTTTTTTAATTTTGCTTCGCTTAAATTTATAACAACTATAAATTCTGCCTCGATTGGACTTCATAGCTAAAGTTTCATTGCAAGTATTCTAGTTAGAATGGACATTTATGTGCTCTAAATAAGGGTAAGTGGGTTAGGACAACCCAATGTCTTTTACATTTCCTTTTTTATTTTCTGTAATCAGAGTAATCATTGGATCTTCACTTTTTGTGTACATCCAATAATAGGTAACACAAAGAGTTTCAATTTATAGGAGGACAATTGAGTCATAACAGTGAAATACAGTAAGTGAAAAAATTTGTTGAAGAAAAGAGGAAATTTTATGTTAATGCGTAAAATGTCAGAATGAAGAAGAAAGTTTTTTTATTGCTTGGCTAACTGCAAGCTTTTTAAATCAACTAAAATTAATTGAAAAGTTGCTAAATTAAGAACCTGAATGGAATGAGGAAGATTTATCTGCAGCAAATAATGTTAGCAGACCAGTAGAGCTGATTACCTGTAGTGAAGTCAAATCAGATGTTTAGAGGGCTCAGTTAGACTAGGCTGCCTCTCTTTCTGGTGTATTAGCTGTGGGTGTCAGATCTTTGCAATATAATTGTGCATAAAGACAAAGTTATATATATATATATATATATATATATATATATATATATATATATATATATAATTACTATAATTATTTCTCTCTTATTTGATACTGGAGCTATTCTATGCAAATGGTTTATGCTTGATTGCAGAAACAGAAGAAAAATTAGTATTAAGAGTGAAGTGTTTAAAAAATAAAATGGAGATCAAAAATAAACTCTATTGATTTTACTGTTTTTAACAAACGAGCTCACAAGAGATGAAAGGTTCTCTCAATATTTTTTAGTGTACTTGAATAAGAGCAGTCAAAAAAGAGATTAAAATAAATAATGGTGAAAAAAAAGTGTTGTTAAGTTTTGTTACCTTGAATATACAATTGGATTAACTGGAAGTGCAGAGAGACATCAATAAGAGATTTTTTCACAGCAAGAAGTGCATCATTAAAGATTAAAAGAAATTTATACACTACAAGCGTTTTATGTTTGACAAATTTCTTAGACAGGGATTAGGACTGTATTCAATTGAGTGTGTCAGGGAAAATTAAGATGGTTTGGGCATGTAGAGTGTAAAAGTGTAAATAATTGAGTATTAGTGTGTAGAGTTGATAGTTTCAGTAGATTTTAAGAAAAATGGAATGTGTGTTACAGGTAATGATAATGATAATGATATGTATATCACGATGATCATGATAGTTCACTGAAAATAATAGCAATCAAAAAAATAAAATAAAAACAAAAAAAGTTTTATCTTTTTGATAAAGTTGAATTTAGTTTTACTTGTGTGACCTTTTTTTGGCGTAATTAAACTCTGTGTTTTTTACAAACAGCTTTCATATGTATGTTTGACAAAGCCAAATCTTGGGTTTTGAAATTTTCACTGGTTGCATTATCTATTTTGGTTTGTTGTCTACTTTGCCCAAAGATTCATAGCATTTTTTACCCTTAACCTGTTTTGCTATTGTTGCTATTCCTGGAGTCACCATTATTTATCCACTATTCCTGGAGTCACCTTGATTTATTTGATGCTTATCATCAAGTTAAGATTATGTTGTTTATGTTGATTATGTTGATTTTTTTAGCTCGCTTTGATGCTTTTGTTTCTCAAGTTTTCAGATTTATTGAGACACTCCTCTTTAAATCTTTGCACATCTTTTGTGTCAGATTTTTTGTGTCAATTGTTGGATGCGAAACAAACATTGCAAAGTTGCTGCATTACCGAGTTAATTGAAATTTTGAACTTTTTTTTGAGCAGCCAGAGTTACACTATTGAAAGTTGGTTGCAGGCTAACTGACTTTAAAGTTGACTTATGAGCTGATGCTATATGCAAAATGTTAATGTTGGTTCAAAAAGTATTAGCTTAGATGGTGTAGTCACTGGTGCTGTAGTTGATGTTGCTGGCAGAGATTCTGGTAGTTGATGACAATATAATATATTAGCAATTTTATATTTTATTTAGCAATATTTGTTATTTTAACTGATCAATTGCTGATGTTAAATGGAATCAAACTTTTAAAACCCAATGTCTATTTGCATGCTTGCAAAAACTTCAAGTGGAAAAGTTTTGCTTACAGTTGAATATTTATGAATTGCAAAAAAGCACTGACATCTGTAGAATGTGTGACAAGTGAGCTGGTAATATAAGTTTTTAATGCAAACAAGATCTACTTCACATTCAACCCTTAGTTTACCATTTCCAATTTTAACCCATTTATTTTAACAGAAATAGTAGGCTTTATTTTAAAGCGTTACGCATAGAGTGATTTGCATACGCCTTAAGCGATTTTACATAAGCAGTTAGCAATTTTGGTTAAGCAACTTTTTGTCATTTTTTAACTTTAAATTGTTTTATAAGCGGTAAGATAAAAGAAGTAATTTAAAAAAAAAACACATTAACTATTGAATGGCTATTATGTAAAAATGTTTGTTACAAAAGTTTAAATGACAATTATGTTAGATATTGCTGTTTACTAATGAAAAAAACTCAAATAAAAATAATTTTTTTTTATTTTGTTTTTATTTTATTGTAATGATTGATTTTTTTGCTATGGAAAATGCTAATACTTTAAGCTTGAAGCAAAGATCATAATAATATAATTTAATTCTGATAAAGAAATATATGATTTAATTTAAAACTAACTTTATAAAAATATATAGTTTAGTTCTGATTAAAAAAAATAAATTTAATTTAGATTTAAAAAATATATAATTTAATTTTGATTTTAAAAATATGTTTAAGTTTATTAAAATTAAAGTTAGTGCTTGGGTTTAACAATTGAACTAAGTTTAATGGGAATTAATTGTCTTTAACTGGGTTTTAACTGGGTTTAATTGTCAAATTACTAGATATTGTTCAATATTTGAATTTTATTTATTCTTAAGAAAAAATTAGCTCATTTTTATCGTTGTGTTTTTTTGGCTTTCCTTCCTAAATATATTTTTATTACTCAAAATTAAATTTTAAATAAATGGCTGCATTAAAAGTTTGCACAAAATTAAAGTTAAACTTTTTTTTTATAACGCAAGTTAAATTGCAGCAATTATTTTTGAATAAATGATATATACAGCGATATAATTTTAATAAATGATGTTTAAAAAAATAATCTTTGCTTTCACAACAAAATAATAATAAAATAAGTAAATAAATTAAAGTTATTTTTAAAATGTTAATAAAATAAGTAAATAAATTAAAGTTATTTTTTTATTTGTTCTCGCTAACTTTTTTTAAATAAAAAATCATTCGAAGTTGCAAAACCAAAATTAGAAATTTAAGAAATAATCATTTTAAAATTCAAAAATTTAACATATTTTAATTCATTTGTGCAAATGTTAAGAAAAGAAAGAAATTTGTTAACATTCATTTTAATCAAACATTTTTTCAAATTGTGATATTAAGTTTAATTATTTAATATAAAAAAAAATTCGAAAAATATCAAAAAAAGAAAATAATCATTCCCTTATTGTGATAATAAAAAGAAATTAAATAATATTTAACTTGTTTTGTGGTAATTAATATATTGCAGTAATTTAAAAAAAAAAAATGTTTTAAAAAAATAAAAAAATTAAGAGAATTTTATGTCAAATTAACATTAGGCTATTGCGTTTTACCCTTTTTTTAAAAAACAAAGCCTGAAGTAAATATAATTGAAAAAAAAAGATTCTTGAATGGTGTAAAAAATCATAAAAAAATCAGATGGTGGCATTTTTAATGAATTGGAATTTTTTGGATTTATTTTCTCACTTTCCTCAAATGTTAAACAACTTCAGACTTTGTCCAAAGAGCCACCAATAAAGAAAAAGAAATCCAATATGAGATAACAAATCCAAGTCATTGATCCTAATCATTTGAAGAATTCAACTTTTTGTAGCAATCATTATTGTAAGAGGCACGAGAGAGCAGATGAGGCAGGAGATCTGCAACTTTTAATGTCATAAGTCTTTTGAAAAGTTATTTCAAGAAACAACATTAATTTGATAAATGTAGAAAATTTATTATTTATAATCATCATAAAAAGTTTTCTTAAAGTTTATTATTAGGTTATTTCAATAGTTATTAACTTTTTCAAAAAATCTCAGTTTCATATGAGGTCTCATAGTGGTCTATTTCGATGACCAGGTTAATGAAATCTACCAGGATGATATTGTCCATATGGATCTAAAATAGTGCGATTCTTGGTCCACATGGATGGAATTGTATGGTTTTGTCTCATATGGACCAAAAACCGAAACAAAAAAAACAAAATTTTGAAAGAATAAAAGTTGTCATAACTATTTCATTATATCTTTTATTTTATTCTGTGTTATTCTATTTCATTATACTCTTTATTTCATTCTGCTATACATTATTATATTTTTTCATTCAGTTTCACTCTATTTCTTTATATCCTTTATTTCATTCCAACCTATTTTATTCTACTTTTTTATATCCTCTATTTCAGTCTGTTTTACTCTGTTTTATTATATCCTTTTATTATGTTTTAGCTTTATTCAACCTTTCATTCTGTTTTATTTAGTTTTAGCTTTATTCAATCTGTTTCACTCAATTTAAGACATATTAGTATAAATATATTTTTATTGTTATGATTAATAATTTTTTATGAGTGTTTATAAATATATATATATATATATATTTAAGGTTTTATTAGCTATGCAAGAAATTACTCCTGAAGAAGAAATATATAATGCGCTGCAGGAGTCATATGAAGGGAAGAAGCAGTTAAAACTATTGCTTCAAAAAAAATGTGATTATGAAAAATTGGTAAATTTGATTTTTATAATTTTGATAGTTTTTTAAAAAAAAAATCATTTTTAATGTTTTTTTTAGATATTCAATAGTTTTTTTTATTTGTGTTTTCAGATTTAGTCAACTGTTTACAGCAGTTTACTTGTAATCAATTTATTCATGTTTTAAGACTTAGTCAACTGCTTATAGCAGTTACTTGTAATCAATTTATTGTCAGACTTAGCCAATTTAGTTCTCAGACTTCGCCAATTGTTCACAGAAATTTATTGTAACTACATTAGTAGATTAGACTTTTAATTTAAAAGTTTGGAATAATATTTAATAGTTTAACGGCCCTATGTTCAAATTTAACTTTTTTTGGATTTTGTGTAGTTTAACCACTTTTTATTAAATAATTTTTATGCTGATTTCAAATTACTAATACATTTTTTTCATTATAAATATTTAGCCTTTTTTTTTTTTTTTTTTTTTTTTTTTTTTTTTTTTTTTACATCTTTTACATCATTTTTTACATTTTTTACATCTTTTACATCATTTTTTACATTTTACTTTTTTACATCTTTTACATCATTTTTTACATTTTACTTTTTTTTACATCTTTTACATCATTTTTTACATTTTTTACATCATTTACATCTCAAAGCGATGCAGTTGGAAACTGGACAAAAGGACAATAAAATATTGTTTCAATAAAACAAAAGGACAATAAAATATTGTTTCAATAAAATAAATACATAAAACTTTTTTTTTTTTTTTTTTTTTTTTTTGTTATATGTAAAAATTGATCAAAATATAATTATCACTTCATACCGTGTTAAACTGATTTTCCACAACGAAATGAGAAGTTTTTTATTTATTTTTTCAAAAAACAGTTAAATTTTATTGTTTTTTAATGTTTTTTACTTAAGTGTATTTTTTGTTGATGTGTAATGTGATTGTTAATTAAATGTCTGACTGACATTTTTATCATATGTGGCATATTTATGCTAGAAACTACAGTTGACTCTTGATATCTCAAACTTTTGTGTATCTGGAACTTTTTTTCCGGTCCGCTGAGAGTTGGAAATATCAAGAGTCAACTGCATGAATGTATATGTGTGTGATTTTTTTTTTTTTTTTTTTCAGAAAATGAATGGTGGTCCTCATAAATTGGCGCTTCCAAGTCAATCAACAGTAAAAATAATTATTGTTATTTGTTAATTCGATTTTTAAATGGTAAATAAACTTATAAATGCAAGTTATAAAGTGAAACTTAAATCTGCATTTTATTTAATCGATGATGGATCTACATTTTATTCAAGAATTTTTTTTTTATATTAAAATTTAATTTCAATTAATTTTATTTGAGAATAAATAGTGAATCCTAAACCAAGATGGAGTTTTATTTGTCTTCTTTATAGTTATTGTTGTTATTTGTTCCTTTTTAGCATTTTAATTTTTAACAGGATGAAGATCTCTTTCAAATTCTGCAAACAGGATTGTATAACAATATTAAAAGTCTTAACTTGGCATTCACTAAAGTAACTAGTGAAGCTGCAAAACATATAATTACTTTGCCCAATTTAATTGAATTGAATCTTTGGAGTACTCCAGTAAGTTCATTTTTTTATATTTATAGGTATTTTACAAAATTTACTGGAGTTATTTATTTTTTTTTTTTCTTTATTAAAACTACATTAAGTGTGTGTAAGATTTTTTATATATTTAAAATAATCAAAGACAAACAAGGGAAATAAATAAATTATGATGACAAGGTATTCTGATTTACATGTGATTTTTGACCATTTCAACTATTTTATTTGCTGTGTTAATTTTAGTACATGAGAAAAAGTTAAAGTGCTTATGTACTATGTGTTATTTTTTATTCTATAAAAGTAAAATTGTTACTCTATGAGATTTTTTCTCAAATTTCACTACTTTCTTTATTCTATTAGGCTATGGGTTACTCTTTTTCTTGAAAGTAGTGAAGTTTGATATTTTAGTGTATTTTTCTTTGATATAACTTACACTTTCTTTGGTCTGCATATTTCTCTTTTCTGCTGTTATTTGACAATTTCTTATTATATTATGCATGTTATATCATATTATATTACACAGTCCATAAATATTATTTTTACACTTATTTTGATGTATTTATTTTTTGTATTACTAGAGCATCACATTTCATCAACTATTTTGTAATATTTTTTAATTTACTAATTTAGTTATCAATTTATACCAGTTTAATTATCAATATAGTTTTTCAACTTCATTTTTGTATTACATACAAACAAAATATCAGTTTTAAAAATAGTTTTAACAAACAGTTTAATATAAAAATGTTATGTAATTACATATATTTACAAATATTTTGTTGAACAATAACAATAAATATTCCCAATATCGCCAAAACGCTGTAAAAATATATTCCTCTATATATATATATATATATATATATATATATATATATATGTATATATATATATATATATATATATATATATATATATATATATATATATATGTGTATATATATATATATATATATATATGTATATATATATATATATATATGTATATATATATATATATATATATATATAAAGGTCAATGAATTTTAGGAATTTTAAGTGCATTGGGAATTCTGCAGTGTATGTTGCTGTTGGACTGTCTAACACTCTGATATATACTTTATTTATAGATTTATTTTTATCTCTAACACTAACAAAAGTTATATACATATGTGTATACGCATGTATATATATATATATATATATATATATATATATATATATATATATATATATATATAAACACATATGTATATAACTTTTGTTAGTGTTAGAGATAAAAATAAATCTATAAATAATGTATATATCAGAGTGTTAGCCAGTCTAACAGTATCACCTATACTGCAGAATAATATATATATGATTTAAAGTTATATTTTTATTTTCTTTTTAGTTTGGAGATAAAGGTCTTCAATTACTGGCAGAAAATTTGCCCAATTTGGAATGTTTAAATTTGTGTGAGACTTGTGTCACTGATGCAGGACTGCAAAATTTAGCTTATCTTGAGAAGCTTCGTTATGTTAACATGAACAGTACAAAGCTGTCAAATAATACTTTTGAACTATTAAAGGTAAGTGGGTTTTTATGACATTCTTAGGAGTTTTCTTTTTTACACATATTTTCTTAATAAAATTTACTTAGCCTTAATGTTTTTTAATAATATTGTTTATGCATTATTTTGATGCATAAACAATATTATTAAAAAACATTATTTTAAATGTTCTCTAAAAATATGAAATAATAAATAAAAAATGAAGAAAGATTATTTCAAAGAAGAATGGCTAAAGACAATAAAAGTTTTTTGGCTCATTAAATGAAAAGGTGAACTTTCCTAGGCTTAATAGAAATTTTGCATAAAGTAAATGAATTTTCAAACATAGGTATCCAAGCTAAAATGTGAAAACCGTGTTGCAAGCAAAATCTCTTGCTTTTTTAAATCTGCTGCTAAAAAAACACTTAACCTATTTCAATCAAAGAGTTTAAAAACTATTTTTTTTTACTAATACTTTCTTACTGACACATTCTTAACAGAATGCATTATGAGCAAAATATTTTGAAGCTCATTGTATCTAGACTTTTGTATCCAGAAGTTGTATTTTTGCTTGAATAAAATTTTTAACAGTTTAAAAAATGGCACAACTAATTTGTTTCAGGCATTTTTTCCTGACAATGCAATTCTTTTTAAGTGGGACCAAATAAAGTTGAATACACTTTCACTAATGGCATTTAGACCTTCTTTCAAAGTTTTATATAAAGAACAACTTAACAGCTGTTTGGTTTAGTTGTTTGATAAATCCTTTAACAAAAATACTCACACTTGCCAAATAGACTCAAATTAGATTGGGAAAAAAATGAAAGTTAAAATGAGTTATTAGGAATTCTTTTTTATGAGTCATAATACCAGTCAGTTCAGATTTCAAATCAAAATCTGTTTGCTTTTTTTTTTTTTTTTTTTTTGTATTAGTCTTAGTCTTATTTGTATATTTTTTCAATGTAAGTACTGCAGTACTTACATTGAAAAAATATGCAGTACTGCATCACATTGCAGAATATTTCAATTTAATTTTTTTATTGACATTCTTTTTATTTGTTCCAATAGTCCATAGTGACTCCAATAGTCACATGCTAGGTTTAGGGGTATACATACGCATTAATTCCCCTATTTGTCGTGAAATCAGGTTCGAATCCATTGACCATTTTTTTATGTGCTTTCGCCTAGCACCTCTTCACTCTATACTCTTTCTCTTTGTTCTTTATCGTTCTCCTTCCCATGATTGCACTCTTTTAGATGTTATCTCTGATCAAATTGACTATGCCCTCTCTCTTTACCCCTCTGCCAATATTGCTGTTGTTGGTGATTTTAATGCCCATCACACTGAATGGCTTGGCTCTAACACCACTGATCCTGCTGGCACTAAAGCCTTTAACTTCTGCGTTTCTCAATCTCTTACTCAGATAGTTAACTTTGTGACTCGTTTTCCTGACAACCCTAATCATTTACCTTCACTCCTTGACTTATGTCTTGTCTCTGACCCTAGCTTATGTTCAGTTTCTCCCTTTTCTCCCTTAGGTAGTTCTGACCATGAAATGATCTATAAATCTTTCTTCTCGTACTTCTTTTTTGGGCTCCTCTTATCATCGCACCACCTACTACTACCCTAAAGCTGACTGGGATTCTTTTCGTGATTTTCTTCGTGATGGATATTAAAAACTAACCACGAGTCTGGTTATACAATTCAAGAACTAGTGGTTGGTTTTCATTTTTAAAAAACTGCTATCAGAAGCATTTCAGCATTAAGCCTCATGGTTTTACCATAATTTTATTTTTGACAAAATAAAATCAAAGTGCTATTAATTCTATTTCTGTTATATTTTTACTGATTTTAAGAAAATGTGTCAGTGGAAAAATGAGTATTACATCTGACTTAAAACTTTTTTTTTAAACCAGTAGTTTTAAACAATTTGTTACTTTTATGAAGTTTCTTAAATAATAAAGCTAAACTAAAAAAACTTATGGAATCAGTTTTACTTTAAAAGATACAGTATCAGATAACTCCCAGGTTTAAAACCATGATGCCTAGAAGAGAAATGTTGTTAGCCATTCTACTGATCTCAGACTATTTCATCAATTAGAAAAATAATCTGTCTAATTTTGTGGAAAAGCAAATTAAATTTTATGTAGCACAATGCCTTTACCAAAAATCTGTTGTTTGAAACAGCTCCAGTTTTGTTCATTTTAAACCTGATGTTCTGATTTTTTTCCAGACAACATAACTACAAGCTCCGCCAATTCACAATAATCTCTGGTGACTTTTTATTAAGGTGTCCTTAACATTCTGGTGATTCAATTGCAACAAAATGGTTTCAATGTTTGCATCAATATTATCTCATCATTAGTGGTTTTAATAATTTATTCTCCAGGCTAACAGTTTAATAATTACGACAACGGCTGTATAAAGCTCTCCAACATGATGGCAGGCTAACAATAGTTGGTCATGTGTTCTTTGAATAGTCAGTGTTTTAAATATCCGGTCAGTGTTAACGTCAGTGCCATCACATCTAAATTTAAATCACCAATCTTTATTTTGTCATATGATAAAAGTATGAATGTTATCTTCAAAAATGAATATTTCAGAGTTAGATACTGGGATTTAAGTTTTGGTGTTGTAAAAGCTAGATATATTGACTTAAAATTCCTTAGACATCCTAATTAACAGATTTGACTCATTGAAGTACCAGAGGTGTTTGATCCATTAGGGCCATCCATTGAAACTAGTATCAATGGATGGTTCTAATGTTATTTAAAAATTCTAAAAATGTTAGATAAACATAGACAGGAAAAAGAATATTGAGATGTAGTTAATATATGGAGTTGCAGTTTTCACATTGTTTATGGTGCCTAACAGACAGCAATAAATTCCTAAAATTGGGAATTAGCAAAAATATTTCAAACAACTGATAGTCTTTTCAAAGATTCACTAGATAAAATGGCTGAGTTTTATTTGCATTAGAATTTGAGAATCTGATCCGTTTTCTTTACTATAAGTATGGATTGTATGCAGAAAAATTTAGGAAAACCAAAATTAATTTATCTTTTTTATATATATGTGTATTCAGGATTTATTCTAGACCATTTTCGTCTATGGTATTTGGGTGCCCAAATTCAGAATTGAGGAATTTTTTTTAACGCCAAATATTTTGTTTTTTTTTGCGAAAAAATGCCTAAATATGTCAATATTTCTGCTAAATTTTGCTGGGATGGGGGTGGACTGTCACCCAAATTAATTTCCTAAAATAGCCTCTGTGTATATATATATATATATATATATATATATATATATATATATATATATATACACAGAGGCTATTTTAGGAAATTAATTTGGGTGACAGTATATATATATATATATATATATATATAATTGCTATTTTATATATATATATATATATATATATATATATATATATATATATATATATATATATATATATATATATATATATATATATAAGAGCTATGAAGCTCTTTTAGATCATTATCTTGACAAGTTTGTACCTGTGCAAATGCAGTTTTTAAAGATCTTGCTAAAAAATTTCAATGGACAGATCTATGGTAGCATTTTTGTTAAACAGTTTAGAAAATATGTTGCAAAATTTGATGAAAATGATTCTCAAACAAAATATTTTAAAAAAAGCTGCAAGCAACAAGTCTTTCTTACACTAAATTCTGCAAAACTGCAGCATTTAGTTTCACAAAGATTGAGGGAAATCAAATAACCAACTAGAAGTAGGCCTAATTGATACAGGAACAAGACTGAAACAGACGTTAAGTTCTCTTCATTGTAAACCAGAAGAGAAATTGAAATTTAAAAAAGAATGAAATTTTCAAAATGTTTTTGCAGAAATTAAAAGAAAGATTTTCATTGAAGTATTTTTTAGTGAGGGATGCTTCATCATTTTCTCTGAATGAAATGGTTCAAATCAAGGAAGTATGCACTATGAAATTCAAGGGTCTTGCTGATAGATTAAGTGCATTAAAATGGCTTTGACAATGCAGATGATGCAAAGCAACAAGTTTTTTGATGAATTTGTTGGTGCAGAATGTGTTCGATTTAGAAAAAATTTGAGTCCTTTAATGAATTAACTGATTCTGTTGATAAATTTCTGGGTGTCTATTTTCACAAAGTTTAAAAGCATTCAGCTTTGTGGAAAGTTTGTGCTATCATTTTTGTTTTATCTCATGGCCAATGTGCAATAGAATGAGGATTCAGTGTTAACAAACAGTTGTTAGTAGAAATTATACAAGAGAGATCTCTTGTTTTTCCAAGATTAGTTTACGACCACATCAGTTCACATGAGATTGTTATTTAAACATCAATTCCCATGAGATTGTTATTTATCAGTATGAGCTTCCCAGTGATCTTTTAAAAAACTGTAGGTTAGCATAGAAAAGGTACAATTCAGTATTAAAAAAAAAAATCAGTTTAGAGATTTTATCAAATCAATCAAAGAAATATATGATTGATAAAAAAATTGTAACTATGAAGAAAGAGAACAAAAATTTTGCAAAGTACATCAAAGTTCTTAAAAAATGATGTTAACAAGTTATAGTTATGATGTTAAAAAAAAATGATGTTAACAAGTAATATATAGTCTATATATAGTACATATCTAGATGTCTGTATACAAAATATAGTACATATATAGCTGTCTGTTTACAAAATATAGTACATATATAGATGTCTGAATACAGTACAAAATATTTTTAAACTTGTTAGAAAACTAGATATTACAATAAATTATATATATATATACTGTGTATATATATATATATATAATCCAGTATCAATGCTGACAATATCTGACATATATCTGATATATTGTGGCCGATATAAAATCTAGTATCAATGCTGACAATTTTGGCTGACACGATGCCAATGGCAATGCGTCAGCAAAAATGTATCATTGGTGTTGCTATCACTTTCATAATTTGCATCATCTACAGAACTAATTATCTTCTCGTCTTTACTGTTCTCTAGGTTTTTATCACTCATTTTGTTCAACTAAAAACAAGCGTCTTGCTTCTTTCTTGTGTAATTTTTGTTTGGAAAGTTGGTTAAGGCCACATAAGGCATAAACTTTTTTTTTGCGGTAGAGTGCTCGCTCTAGTTCCAAGTTTGATCCCACTACATCGCTGGTAGCACCACTCTTAACTGATTTCTCTGCGCAGGGCCTTGTTTGTCAAGATCTGTGTTTTGCAGTTTAAGAGCGACCTTTGATTTTATCCATAGATTTCTTTGTTCATTCCATTATATTTTCAGGATTTTACCAATGTGAGTCTGTTCGCAAAAAGTGTTTGCAGTGTATTATAATTAAATTCTGTGTTAGAAAGAATCCAATGTTTTTGCCTAAATTTTTTCCAGTATTAGTTGCAGTTGTGTCATAACACAGATGTCTTAACACGTTGCATAAGTTCTTAGCTTATATTCATCGAAAATGTTTACTAAAATATCATGAGTGGATTTTCCAGTACCATGTTTCATTGGCAAAATGCCAAAAGGTTTTAAATCGCCATAAATATTTACTAAAACACCAAACAATCTCTCTGCGTTTGGTAATATCCTGTCAAATTTTACCATCATAGCTTTTTTTACATTTTGATATTTATCTGTATTTTTCTTTGTGACGTTTAACATAAATGTTAAATGTGATCTTTCTATTTTTTTTATTTTTCGGCAATGTTCTAAATCCTTTGAACCAAGGGTCATTTTAAAATTGTATATTTGAATGTTTTTGTTTTTGTTTTTTTTTTCTTCTCAAAGTTGCCAATTTTAAGTGTATTTTGCTTTAATTAAATTTTGCTCTAATTGCTTTAAAATTTATGTAACTATATTAAGTTAACAAATTGATAAAGATAAAATTAAAATTTAGTAAAAAAAAAAAGAAATAATTATAAATCATATATTATTTAGCAATCTTCATTTCTTCCATCTATCCAGGGTTTTATTTACAGCAAAATGTATGCAGTTCTGAGAGCATTAGGCTATTTCAGAACATCTTGAAACGTTTTATCTTTGGAAGGACAACTAATCAAAATTTTGACGTCTAAAGTAGAAGGAATAAGTTTAGATTTTAAAGTTATTACTTTTCAAACTAAAATTTAATTACGTTGAAAATATATTAAACAATTATTTTTGATAAATTTATGTTTTAATCATACCTGTATTGAAATTGATCTTGTGGCTTAAGGTGGCATTTTTAATTTTTTTTTTAATTTTTCTTTCGATTTTTTAAGTTAAGTGATAATAATTGGCACTTTATAATCAAAAGCTTCTTAACCTAAGTAAAAGTATTCTTAGCCTAAATAAAAGTATGACATGAACTTATTTAAATTTTGTTATTTTTTTTAGAATAAGTAGTTAGAAAAAAAGGGAGTGTTTTTGTTTATAACTTACGAGTGTTTTGTTTGATCGTGACAGTCATCCTTTTTAATTTTATTTAACTTATTCAAGTATTCTGAAATAATATAATATTGGTGTATTTTAAGTTATTTTTCTTGATACAAATTGATATAAATGTTTATAATAAGAAATTGCCAATCAAATTTAAATTGGTATTTATGCCTTTTAGATTTCATAGAAGGTAAAAATTGGTGTTTTATTTAAATGTTTTAGGTTTCCACTTTTCAGTTAGAAAAATGGGGTTTTGGGGCTCAAATTGTAAAATGTGGGGTTTATACATGTATATATGTATTTATTTATTTTGTTGATTTATACTTTATATATTGTATGCTATTTGTTAAAAATAATTTGATTAAAAAAGGAATGAAGATAAAGTAATAAAAGGGTGAGATTTTTTTTTTTTAGTCAAAACTTACAAGTCTAAGAATCGTTGACGTCGGGTACACTGATGTATGGTGAGAATTGTTGACGTCGGGTACACTGATGTATGGTGAGAATTGTTGACGTCGGGTACACTAATGTATGGTGAGAATTATTGACGTCGGTTACACTGATGTA